TGTAAACTGCTCTGAGACTCCAAGTGAAGGGCAGAGTATAAATCCAATCTCCTCCTCCTCCTCCTCCTGCTGAAAGAAGCTTTGCAGAAGTTGAAGACCACCTTGTTATCATCTGCTGGTGAAGAAGAGGAGGAGGAGGAGACTGGGTTTATACCTCGCCGAAAGGAGTCTCAGAGTGGTTTAAAATCCCTTTCCCTCTCCTGCCACACATCAAGCACCCTGTAAGGTAGGTGGGACTCAGAGAGCTCTTTTGAGGACTGCTCGTGAGAGAACAGCTCTGAAACCACTTGTGATTGACCCAAGGTCACACCAGCAGCTGCATGTGGAGGAGTGGGGAAGTATTATCTTTTTTGGATCTGTAGTATAAATGGTTCTGCAAGGCTTCAAACAGCATTCCTCTTGTTGCAGGAGCTTCAGTTTGCTTTGTGCCATTGGGTTCCTTGTTCTTGCAGTGATGAGAGAAGACTGCTATGTCAATGGCAGTTTGGTGTAGCGATTAAGTGTGCGGACTCTAATCTGAGAGAACCGGGTGTGATTCCCCAGTCCTCCACTTGTACCTGCTGGATGACCTTGGGCAAGCCATAGCTCTGATAAGAGCTGTCCTTGAAAAAGAGCAGTTTCTGTCAAGAGCTCTCTCAGCCCCGCCTACCTCACAGTGGGAGTCTGCTGTGGGGAGGGGAAGGGAAAGGAGTTTGTAAGCTGCTCTGAGACTCCTTTGGGTAGTGAAGGGCGGGGGATAAATCCAATTTCTTCTTCTTCTTCAGGAAACAGTTAGTTACAAATAGTGACTATTCATAGACCCAAAAAATTCTGAAAAGCATGTTGTTCCATTGGTCAGTGAGGGTAGCTCTATCTGGTGGAAACTTGGAAGGGCAGGGAGGAAAATAACTACTTGTCCTCAAGAAAATTGTTTCCTTGAAGCCCCCAATAATAATTGCTTGTTTGTAGGCCAGTCAGAGAGACCAAACCTTACATGTTCCCCTCTGGTCTGTCTCATGTTCCATCACCTGTTGTTTGGAAAGAGATGTCTTGTGTATGTATAGTGAAGCTGACCAAGAGTAAGGACATGTATCTTCAATCAACACCCTCTCAGAAATCAATTTGTTTCCTCTGCGGCGAGGTGGCAGGAACACCTGTGTAACTACCATTATTTGCCTGGTCTGTGCCACTGTGGTAAACATTCATTTGTGGATAATAGTACACATTAAGCATCATACTCTAATGGCTGCATATTTTATGTATCGAATTCATGGTGAATTGTATAATTATGTGTCATGCTGAGCTGTAGGAAGTGGTGGTGGATGCAGTTTTTAGCATGGAGGATACTCTGGCCCCTGCCACACGGGGGGAAATTGATGCGGGCAAAGTGCGGCTTTTGGAAGCCGCACCAAAAGAGACACGCAGTGGCGGGATCACACAGATCCCGTGAGCCGCCGCGCAGTTGCTCCCCGGCATGATCAGATGCCGGGGAGAAAGCCACGGAAGGGAGCGCAAGGCCACCGGCTGCGCATGTGTGCACATGCACAGTTTGGCTGGGAGCCTCGATTGCTCCGGAAGATGGGTGCTTCGGCAATCCGACAGCTGCACTTGATGCGGCGTTTCCGGTAAGTCCCGCTCTGTAGGTGGGGGTTTTTTACAGCGGATTTTCGGCCTGAAGGGCTGGATCGGGGACGGGTGCGCGCCGCTTCCCAGATGTTGCGGTGAGATCGCGCCCGTTTGCTGCGCCACCGATCTGTCCCTCTCCCGGGCCAAAACCTTCCATGTGACCGGGGCCTCTGAATGTTTTTAATCTTATAGAATGCCCTTGCTTCCAGTAGAAAGTCATGTCATAGGACCAGTATGGTGAGTTAAAGTGCGTAGAAGCCAGGCTTTTCAGTAAACAGCTGAGGGATCCCTGCAATTAATCCCTTCCTTGCACAAAAAGATATATGGAGAAAATTGACTGTATCCTCATGGGTAATGTTGTATTGTGGACAGGCAGCCTTTGAGACAGGACATTGTAAGGCACTAGTTCCGATTTTGCAAGCTTCTTCTGTCCCCTATCTAGTTAATAAGCTCTTAGTTGTGTCAAAATATTTCTTTAATACAAAAATTATAATTTAAATTTCTTCTTTGAAATGCTTGTGCTCATGTGTAACGTTTTGCTTCTCTTCTGAGACTCCTTGTATGTAACACCTGTAATGGCACCTCTCTGTCGTGCTCTGAGGGGAGGTGTGTTCTGCTGCCTCCCGGCCTGCCTTATTTTTGCTGCCACCCACGGCTGCCTCGCCTGAGACTTCTTAGCTGGACCTGAAGAAGAGGGTGGCCTTGTTTCAGAGGGTGGGACGACAGAGCAGTCGGGGGGGGGGCAGAAGGAACTGTTTTATTTAGATAGATTCAGGTGGGTTGCTGTGGGGGTCTGAAGCCGCACTCACCCCCCTCCCCGCAAGGCAGTTGGAATGTCAGTTGCATATGGAACCTTCAAGGTCTTTTGCATATGGAAGCTGATTGGACTTCACTGCATTCCACACCTCAAACTCACCCCCCTCCCCGCAAGGCAGTTGGAATGTCAGTTGCATATGGAACCTTCAAGGTCTTTTGCATATGGAAGCTGATTGGACTTCACTGCATTCCACACCTCAAACTCACCCCCCTCCCCGCAAGGCAGTTGGAATGTCAGTTGCATATGGAACCTTCAAGGTCTTTTGCATATGGAAGCTGATTGGACTTCACTGCATTCCACACCTCAAACTCACCCCCCTCCCCGCAAGGCAGTTGGAATGTCAGTTGCATATGGAACCTTCAAGGTCTTTTGCATATGGAAGCTGATTGGACTTCACTCCATTCCACACCTCATACTCCCCCCCCCCGCAAGGCAGTTGGAATGTCTGGTGGTGTGTAGGTCCCAGGGACATGTTTTAAGAGCTGCCTGGGGGATTATGGACCATTCACACACTTTCAACCTTAACATACCTCATAGGGGGAGAGGAGAATGATGACAGCTGCTTTCCCTAGGCAGAGGCTGGGGGGGGGAAGTAAACTTGAAGACAGACAGGCAGATAAAGGTTAGGCTGTTGGTTGCCTGGAAAGGACATAGGGTTGCCAACTCCAGGTTGGAAACTTCCAGGATAGTTTAGGAATGAAGCCTGCTGAGGGTGGGGTCTGAGGAGGAGGAGGAGGAAGAGAAAGAGGAGGACCTCAGACAGATACAATGCCATACTCCCCACCCTCCAAACAAGCTGTTGCCAGTCTCCAGGTGACAGCTGGAGAGCTCTTAAAGCTCTGGTGCTAATTCAAAGTGCTGCAATTTGTCGACAGAGTAGTGTTTTGGCAAATCTTTAGGAATTGTTTGGTGCATTTACGATGAGGCACCCACCCAGAGCCTCTGGCATTTTCTCACTCTGCTGGCATCAAAACCAATTTAAGGCAAAATAAGAGGCTACTGAGAGGGGAGGAGATAAAGTTGCCAGCTTTAGGTATGGAAAATCCTGGAGATTTGAGGAGTGGAGGCCGGAGAGGGGGACCTCAGACAGGTTACAGTGCCATAGACTCCACCCTCCAACCCAGCTATTTGCTCCTGGGGAACTATTGTTGCCAATCTTGGCCCAGCACCCATCAAACCATTCTCTTCAACCTCCTGCTGTGCAGCTGACTTTCCCCTAGGGTTGCCAATCTCCAGGTGGGACCTGGAGATCTCCCACTGCTAAAATTGATCTCTAGATGACAGTTTCCCCTGGAGAAAATGCCTGCTTTGGAGGGTAGACCTTATGACATTATACCTGCTGAGTCCTTCCGCCCCCCCAATGCTGCCCTCTACAGAATCTACCCCCCAACACTCCAGGTATTTCCCTCCTTATAGCTGGCAACCCTACTTTCCCCTCAGTGCCTGTTGGTAGGCAACTAAGTTTGGTCCAGTCACCTACTTTGCCCTTTGGGAGAAAACATATTGGGGCCAATCCTGATAGGGTTGCCAACTCCCGATGGGAAATTCCTGGAGATTTGAGGGATGGAGCCTGAAGAGGGTGAGGTTTGAGGAGGGGTGGGACCTCAGACAGGTACAATGCCATAGACTCCACCCTCCAAACCACTCAGTCCCTCATGGGGAACCATTGTTGCCAATCTCCAGGTGAGGGCTGGAGACCACTCAAAATTACAATTGCTCTGCAGAAGGGAGGGCGGAAGTCAGCTGAAGTCAAAGGGGCAGATAATGGTAGGTTGATGGTTAGCTGCGAAGGAGATGGGGTTGCCAACTCCAGGCTGGCAAATTCCTGGGGGTTTGAGGGGTGGAGCCTGTAGAGGGTGGGGTTTGCGGAGGGGTGGGACATCAGACAGGTAGAATGCCATAGACTCCACCCTCCAAACCAGCCATTTCGTCCTGGGTAACAATTGTTGCCAATTTCCAGGTGAGGGCTACAGATCACTCAAAATTACAACTGCTCTTCAGGGAGCAGAGATCAGTTCCTCTGGAGAAAACAGTGGACTCTGTCATTATACCCTGCTGAGGTCACCACAGCAAAATGACACTGTTTGCTCAAAGCCAGAGCACTCCCCCCGAGCCTCTTTCTAGATCTCGTTGTATTTATTTCCACAACGGGCTTTACTGCTAGTGTAGCTATAATCCAAATGCAGTACACTTCCATCACCCATCCAGCCTCCCTCTTTCTTACTCTGGGGGCCTGCATTTTAAACCACAGCAAAATATATGTGGTGGAAAGTGCTGTCAAACTGCAACTGACTTACAAGGCCCCCTCAAGGCAAGAGATGGACATAGGTGGTCTGCTGTTGCCTTCCTCAGCATAGCGACCCTGGACTTCATTGGTGGTCTCCCATCCAAATACTTACCAGGGCCGGCCCTGCTTAGCTTCTAAGATCTGACAAAATCAAACTAGTTTGAGCTATCCTGCTCAGAGAAAAAATGTAGAACCTCACATTTAATCACCGAAATAAAACGCACAGAAAATATTTACATAGGAGAGCACCACAGTGTTGTTGGTAATTTATGCTTTTTCCCCCCTCACCAGAGCTAAATAGTACCGATCTGAAAGATTGTGTCAGTGACAATAGCCTTAGCAGCAATGCCAGTCTCCCAAGCGTCCAGAGCTGCCGACGGCTTCGTGAGAGGAGAGTTGCAAGCTGGGCAGTTTCATTTGAACGGCTTCTTCAGGATCCAGTTGGTGTTAGGTATTTCTCTGTAAGTAATGGAAAATGTGCTAGAGTATATATTTACAACAACTTAAACGAGAGTGATTGAACACTTCTTTAAACAGAGAGTGATTGAAAAGTGGAAAAGAGGCCCCACTGGTGGACCTCCTGATGGCACTGGTATTTCTGGCCACTGTGTGATACAGAGTGTTGGACTGGATGGGCCTTTGGCCTGATCCAACATTGGCATCTGTTATGTTCTTATGGAAATCACTGCCAGAAGATGTAGTGATGACCACAGGTATAAACAGCTTTAAAACAGGATTAGATAGATCCATGGAGGATCAGTCTATGAATGGCTACTAGCCATGGTAACTGAGGGGGACCTCCACATCCAGAGGCACTAAACCTCTGAAGCCCAGAGCCAGGAGGCAACCTAAGGGGAAGGCCTCGGCCTCTGTGCCCTGTTGTGGGACCTCCAGAGGAACTAGTTGGCCACTGCGTGAGATGGGATGCTGGACTAGATGGGCCACTGATCTGATCCAGCAGGGCTCTTCTTCTGATCAGGGGAAGGCCTTGGCCTCTGTGCCCTGTTTGTTGGACCCCCAGAGGAACTGGTTGGCCACTGTGTGAGACAAGAGGCTGGGCTAAATGGACCATTGCTCTGATCCAGAAGGGCTCTTCTAATATTCGTAACACCACCAAGCAAAGTCATGTTCTGAAAACTTCCTCATTTAATAAACTAATATGGTTTATTCTCAGTGTTAGCTGGATAGTTAATTTAATTTTTAAAAGACTGATTTTTGTTTAAACCAGTTAAAAGAGAGAGATGATCTAGTTTCTGGGACTGAGCCCTTCTTCTGTATTTCAGTACTAGAGTCTAGGCATTGGGTTATTGAAAGGGGGGGAGCAGTTCTATTTGCATTAAAAAGTGAATTATTTATTTACTTGATTTATACCCTATGTTTCTCCCCAAGGAGAATCCAAAGCCAACTTACATCATCTTCACGCCTTCATTTTGCCCTCACAATAACCCTGTGAAGTAGGTTAGGTGGAGAATGTGTCGTTGGCCCGAGGTCACCCAGTGAGATTCTGTGGCAGAATGGGGGGGATTCAAACCTGGGTCTCCCAAATCCTAGTCCGACTGCCTCTACACCACCACACTGGCTTTCTTTAAAAGCAAAACAAAAAAGGAGCAACATAAGTCAAAGGACAGGTCCCGACTTCAAGCGGCTGACAGTCAATGGCAGTGGCGCTAGCCGTTTAGTTTGGAATAAATAAAACTGGTTCAGTCAGTTCTTCCGCAGAAGCCAGACGGTATTGTTATCAATCCATTTTTTCCAACATGATTGAAGCTGATTTTTAAAATGTAAAATGCAGCTGGAGTGCCTGTAGCTGGCTGCCCGTGAGTGCTCTTGAGCTTCCAGGAGCGACTGTTCCTTTACATCTTAATGTTGTTTTAAATCAGCTTCTGTTTCTCATCGTAATTAATTACTTCCTGCTCACCCACAGCCACAGAGGTTGGTCATTAATTTGTCTTCTGGGGTTTTTTGGGTTGGTTTTTTTTTTGGGTAATTCTAATTTAAAAACGGCACAATTTCAGTCCTGAAATGAAAAAGAAAGAAAATTATTGAGATCTTCGACGTGGTCTCTGTGCTTCACACCCATGGGATCTAGTGCGCACGCGCTGGATCGATCGGTGCTGTAGCAAGCTCTTTTAACAGATTTTCATGCCCAGTCCCTCAGGCATGCGCAGGAACCCCACCGCGCATGCCCAGAGGGGTGGGCGAGGACATCCCGCCAGTTCCTTTCTTACTGCCGCATTGAATAGACCTATTTTTCGTCGGTCAGATCGGTTTGCTTTCGGCTATTCGCCTCAGCTCTTAGGAATTATTTCCTTATTTTATTTTATTTTTCCTTTCGCTTCTCTTTTTTTGTTGTTTGTTCTTAAAAAAATAAAAAAAAAGCCTTTAGTTTCCGTTGAGGGGGACTCAGCTGATTCCCTCAGGCCTTCGGGCTACCCCCCCCCCCCCCAAGTTCCCTCTTCTTTATTTTCTTTTATGGAGAAGAAGTGGGGTTTCTTCAATAGGTGCAAGGGTTGCGGCAGCAAATGTGCTCCTCCAGACTGTCATACCCTGTGCATTTTTTGCCTCGGAGAGTCTCATCAGCCAGCGAAAAAATCGAGCTGCGCGCCTTAAAGTGGCACTACTGGAATCGGCACTTACTCCTACCTCTGCGATGGAGGAGAGACCATCAACATCGACAGCTCCGGCATCGAGACCTGCCTCGGATGCCGACCGTCCGACACTGAAGCTCCCGGCATCGAAGGCGCAATCTTCCGCTTCCACGCCAATCAAGAAGAAAACCAAGGCAAGTAAAGATCATAAGTCCGTGAAGAAGGGCACCTCAAAGTCCCTTAAGGCGGCAAAGAAGGGGAAGAAAGCGGTGCCTGCACTGGGTGATGCCCCTATAGTGCCTCTCGCTCCTATGGCAGTATCGATATCAGAGGCCCAACTCCCTCCACCGATACTGACCATCCAATTACTTGATTCCCCCATCCAACAAGTGGAGCGTCCGTACTCCAACATCGACACGGTGGAGCTCCTAAGTCACCAAATGGGTACAGAGCCTTCCCCCTCTCCTTCGACTTCGTCGACATCGATGATATCGGAGGCTCCCGATGTGGAAACACGTCGGTACCGCCACGCTTCTTGCAGTATGCAACGTCATCCTCCGCGTCTCCATGTCCAATCTGTCGATATCGACGACCGAGACTACAGGGACGGTTTTCACAGACAGGCTATTCCTTTGTCTCCCAGACGTCCACGGTCCAGGAGTCGATCCCCCCGAGTCTTCCTGCCCCCTCCACCACCGATATCTTGGGATCAACGACAGTTGAGATACCTGTATGGGGCTTATCCACCATCTATGCCCTGGTTGACTCCGATGGGCTATTCTGATTGGGACCCCTATTCGTCTCACTCTGTTCATAGATAGAGGTCGCCCCACAAGTCGAAACCCTCAGCATCTCTGTCGCGTCCTCCTCCAGTCGATCCTTCCCATCATATTCTGGAACCAAGTCGTCCTCCAAACCCTCAGGTCACTCCTGACCCGATCATCCCACCTAAACCCATAACTTGTCAAGAGGACACGTCGGTCCATATGCCACAACAAGACTCCTCTGACTTCATGGAAGAAGACTCCGATACGGCGGCATCTGAGGCTCATACCTCTCCTGACCATAAATCTCCCAACCAGGATGTCGCTGAGGACTTACCCATATCCCCATCCGACAACCTTACGTCGTACACAGATTTAGTTAAAAGAGTGGCCCACTCTTTAGGCCTCTCTGTCGTTCAGCAACATCCGCAGGCAACAGATGCCGTTTTCGATATAGTCCAGCTTGATACCTCTTCCACCTTAGCATTGCCCATGTCTTCAGTCCTTCTGCAAGCAGCAAAGGCACCATGGCTAAAACCCTCGTCAGCCCCTGTGTCCACGAGATGACTGGACCATATGTATAGGGTCCAAGAGACAGATGCCGAATTCCTATTCTCGCACCCTCAACCAAACTTGATGGTGATAACATCTTCCTCTAAATCCAAGAGGACACATTCTACACCTTCCAACAAGGAAGGTAAGAAACTAGATGCCTTTGGCAGACACTTCTACTCCACGGGAGCATTGGGAGTCAAGGCCACTAACTACCTGGCCTGCATGAATAGGTATCAATATACTCTCTGGGAACGGTTCTCTGAACTACTAACCCACCTTCCCAGAAGACAAACTCCAGGCAGCAAGAGTCATCCAAAAGGAAGGCATGGTACTGGCAAAACAACAGCTCAACACGACTAAGCATGTCCCCGAGGCATCTTCCAGAACCATGGCCTCTGCAATAGCTCTTAGGCGACATTCCTGGCTCCACAATACCAATCTGTCCATGGATACTAGATCTTATGTGGAAGATCTTCCATTTGATGGCCTAGGACTTTTCAGTGCCACTACTGATTCCGCTTTGCAAGAATTAGATAAGAGCATTAAAGCTTCTCGAGCTCTAGGAGTGTCCTCGTCTGCCAGACAACCATACCGACCCTGCACCTGATCGAGATCCTGGCAGTGACGTACCCCAAGTCGTCAGTCTCCGGACACTCAATGGAGACCGAAAACATCTTCGGGAGGCCAAAAATCCGCCTTCCAAAAACCGAGATTTGGATCCGAGCAACAATCTTCCCGCTCCAAACAGACCAAACCCTCCAAACAGAGTTTTTGACTTCCCAGTCACCGAGTCAGCTCAAACGCGACTGTGACCGTTTCTTCAAACTTGGCGTCAAATCACCTCGGATGAGTGGGTACTGTTCATATTGTCCTGAGGCTACAAAATTGAGTTCCACCAGAACCTCAATACTCCGGTCGTCGTCTCCACGCCCCCTTCCCCACCTCTTCTCAAGGAGGTGTCCGTCCTTCTGCAGAAAGGGGCCATCGAACATGTACCACCACACCTCCACGGGACGGGATTTTAATTCCTGATACTTCACAGTCCCGAAGAGAGACGGAGTTGTTCGACCCATATTAGATCTAAGGGAACTGAACCGTTTTGTGACTTACCACTTCTGCATGGTATCCCTACAACAAATCATGCCATTGCTTCAGAGACGAAGAAGCCCTTCAGCTCACGAAGAAGCCCTTTGAGCCGCTCGCAACATGCGACCTCAAACTTCTAGCATGGAAAACGGCCTTTTTAATTGCTGTCACCTCGGCTAGATGAGTGGGAGAAATATTGGCTTTCCAGCATGATACACCTTACCTGTCGTTTTTGCCGGATGGAGTCCGCCTCGTCCCGGACATCTCCTTCCTGCCGAAGGTGGTGTCAGAGTTCCACCTGCAGGCGGAGGTCTTCCTCCCTGATTTCTTCCGAAACCCAACATCAGCGGAAGACAAGCTATTACACATTTTAGATGTGAAGCGGGCTCTCCTGTTCTACCTCAATCGAACACACCCAACTAGATGAGACTCGCAACTCTTCATCTCTTACGCGTCAGCACGACTGGGCATGCACATCACAGCTCAATGCCTGTCAAAAGTGGATTGTCGGTCTCATCCGTCTGTGTTACCCGATCGCCAAACAGCCATTACCTGGCCTGATCAGGGCTCATTCTACCAGGGCTGTTGCGACCTCCACTGCCTTCCTCCAGGGAGTGCCCCTGACAGACATTTGCAAAGCCGCTTCGTGGGCCACGCCTAACACCTTCATCAGGCACTACGCCCTAGACGTCCGTACGAACACCAATACCACCATGGGACGTCACATTCTATCTTCGGCTACACAATAAAAGACCTGCCAGCACCCTCCTCCAAGTAGGCTACTGCTTGCTAATCTCCCAAGGGTGTGAAGCACAGAGACCACGTCAAAGATAAACAGGTTGCTTACCTGTAACTGATGATCTTTGAGTGGTCATCTGTGCATTCACACCACCCGCCCTCCTTCCCCGCTGCTGTCAGCGTCTACATTTTTAATAGGGGTTGATTTGCGGCGGTTTGAAGGAACTGGCAGGATGTCCGCGTCCACCCCTCTGGGCATGCGCGGTGGGGTTCCTGTGCATGCCTGGGGGACTGGGTGCGAAAATCCGTTAAAAGAGCTTGCTACAGCACCGATCGATCCAGCGCGTGCGCACTGAATCCCATGGGTGTGAATGCACAGATGACCACTCGAAGATCATCAGTTACAGGTAAGCAACCTGTTTTTTAGGCTGCAAAGACTAAAGTGGTAATTAAAGTCCGCCCCCCCCCCCCAGCTCACTAAGGAATGCAGGAGTGGCCCTGTGAGTGAACAGTAGTGGATTGAATCCAATTACTCCTCCCTCTACCTCAGAGTAGTAACACTTAAGCATGTAAGGGGAGTGGGGTAGATGGGAAAGAGAAAGCAGGAGGATAAGCATGAGGAGGGAAGATGCCACCTGATCTGCCTCTCTTTGCTCAGCCAGTCTCTGCACCCTCTGTTTGCATCTTCCCCTCTCCATAACCAATCCAGGGCCATGGGGAGGAAGGCAGGAGAGACAGGGTGTCAGTTGGAGATGGGACAGACAGGAAGGCTACCATGCCAGCGGTCAGATTGGGTGCAGAAGTAATGATTTAAAGGATGCTCTTAAGCATACTTTTGTTGGGGGATATCCATTGAATCATTGTTTTTAAAGGTAACGGAGAAATGAGTTGGAGCTTTATGTTGGGATTATCTTTCTTATTTTCCCATATTTCAGTAATTACCTATACAGATCTGTTACTGTGGCTATACTGTGTTGTGAGTTTGAACTATGGAAGACTTCCTAAAACAGCAAGAATCTTTGGACCATGATGATTACTTTTTAAATTACTTTTTGGTCATTCTGGCATGGACCACTAACAGCTTGTCATTATGTAATGTTTGTTTTCTTTTTCTGTCTAGGAATTCTTACGGAAGGAATTCAGTGAAGAAAATATTTTATTTTGGCAGGCCTGTGAATATTTTAACCATGTACCCACTCATGACAAAAAAGAGGTATGCACCCATCCTTACACCCTGTTTACATTTTCTATACAGCCGTAATATTTCTGTCTAAAAATGTGCCTGTAATTTCCTGCCATTTTTTTGGGGGGGGGGGTCATCGGGTTCTGCCTCGCTTGGGGGCTGGGCTCAGGGCCTTCTCAGCTCAGGGTTTCTTTTCTGAGACCGACCCTATAAAAGTGTGAGAATTAATATGAGATTTTTCTCTTTGGCTTAGGATGAAATGCAAATTAGTGCTCACAGTAATCACAGAACCCCTCTTATTCCACTCCCACCCCCCAGGAACTGGCTCCTGTGTAGTAACCGCCACTCGCTAGCCTGTCCCTCACTGGGATGTTTTGCAAATGTGCTGTGGCTCAATTGCATGTTCTGGTGCTGCGAAGAAGGTTGCTTCAGCACCGTGAAGCACATCTGCGGCTTGCATCTTGAATGTGTCTTCTGCTTCTTAGGGCTAACTACACTGATGGCCTCTCCTTCTTAAAAAAAAGCAGATGAGGGAGCTGTAATTTGGAGAAGTGGTAGGGGGAGAGGGGGTATTAACCCTTTCTGTGCCTGTTATTGTTTTGCCGCACCCCCTCCCCCCAGGTTCCAGGTGCATGTGTGCCACCACATTCAGTTGGAACCCCATTAGAGGAAAAGTGACTTGAAAGAAGGGAGTTTTAGGGAGAAAGTGGCAGGCTAAGGAAGAGTAAACCTGTCTTCCCACAACTTCAAATTGAATTTCCAAAGCTACTTTTCTTAGTCTTCAGTGACATTGATGACATTCTAATGGTAACAATTAGAAGTGGCCAATTTATACTCTGATTTGAATATTCCCCCCTCCCCCGTGTATGCTGAATGGATCTGTGCAATAGAGGTTAGGAAACAAGATAATTTGTGAGACAAAATGTCAGAAATGCATCCAAAGAATATACCACTATGTATTGTCCTATGTAACTAAGGACAATACAAACATGTATTGTCCTGTGTAACTAAGCAAACCAAAGAAGGGATCACAGTTACAGGTTCATACTATCAAAGAAACACTGTGATAAAATTGACAATATTTAATGATTCTTATGAACATCAATTTGTGTATCTATTAAGAGTTTTACAATATTGCCTAGGAAATTCTGACGTTCAAGGGAAAGTCCGACATCATCATATCCTTAATGAGCGCCCGGTTGACCACTCATTTCACGAATCTTCCTCAGGAGTAAACCTATAAGGTTGGAAGGTGTCAGCCTCTTGATACGACTTAACTTATTTTTGACACAGTTTAACCTCTTTTTTACTTTCTTCAAATTATTGCAAAATATTTCATATTATCTTCCAGTTCCATTGCAAGTGCTTGAATTGGGAGCAAGCCAATTAATTAATTTCTAGTAGTAGCAACCAGTCACTATTTTTATCTGGCTAGAAGCCTTCTTTTTTCAAATTGGCTGGTATTTGCTCTCTATCTCATGTCGATGGCTCAGTCACTCTCTAATAGGATATAGGAGTAGCATTTCAGTCATCTTTTCTATCTGGCTGGAAGCCTTCTTTTTAATAATAAACTGACAATGCTCTCCACCTCTCACACTGGAACTCACACTGGCAGAGGGAGGCTGGCAGCCCCACTGAGCTTGGCTGCGGCAGGTGCCATTGCTGGGAGCCATTCCAGGCCTGGCTGCTGCTGCAGTGCACATCAGAAGCGGCTCTGGACTCGGCTGCAGCATTGGCAGACATCGGGAGCGGCTCCCGGCTCCGCCATGGCAGTGGTTGATGCTGGGAGGGGCTCTGGACTTGGAGGGGCTCCCAGAGACCACCACCACTGTGGCTGGGCTCCAAGGCGAGGCCTGGACACGACAGCTCATCTGTGGTGGGGGGAGATGGGATTCCTCTCCCCCCCCCCGTTTCGTGGGCCCTCCCTTGTTCCTTCATAATCCTATTTAGTTCTTTTTGGTATTGTTGAGTGGGGTCTGAGGATAGCTGTTTGTAGACAGTGGTATTGAAGATTTCTCTTTTGGTGATCTGATTTGTCCATGATGACAACTGCTTCTCCTTTGTCAGCTTCTTTAATAATAATGTCTGGATTGTTTCTGAGGCTGTTGATTGCATTTCTTTTGGCATGCGTGAGGTTGTGTTTTAAGATACGATGTTTCTTGATGACATCGGTTTGGGCTCGGTGGCAAAAACATTCTGTGTAGAGATCTAGTGTGGCAATGCAGCCATTGAGGGGGGGGCAGTCCACGTAGAGTCCTTTTTCCTGTAGTGGTTACTTACTTTACACATACTTAACTTTGGAGCTTGTTTGCTGTATAACTATTTACCCAATTTGGAGAAATTCTCTTGGTGGTCTTAGTAGTCTGCTTGGGTTTTCACCCTGCTGAATATTGTAGTGTCCTTTGCAAACTTGGCCAGTTCACTATTCACTCATGATTCCAAATAATTTATAAACGGGTTCTATAACACAGGTCTTCATACAGATGCCTGACGGACCTCACTGCTTACTTCTTTCCTTTGTGAGAACAGTCCATTTATTTCTGTCAACTGCCTCCTGTTGTGTAACCAGTTATATCCCAATGAAAGCCAGTAATCTGTAACTGCTATGCTGAATCTTTGGTGAAGCACAGAGTCTAAATATTTTCAGAAGTCTCAAGTATATAATGTCTACTGGGTCACCTTTACTCACATGCTTGTTAACACTCTCAAACAATTCCAAAAGATTGGTGAGGCAGAAATGCCCTTTGCAGAAGCTGTGCTAATTCATCTTTGCTAGGGCTTACCATCAGCTTGCATTTGGGGATGCCCACTTTCTTCTTTGTCTTCCTGAATTCCATCTTCATCACCCCAGGAATTTTGACTAAATAGGGGATAGCATATCCTCAGCATTGCTATTTGGGTCTAGTATTTCTACCCATAGCGATTCTGTGGAGGAGTCTTTTCTTTCTTGTTTGTTAGACTATGAGCCCTCTTTGGCACAAAGAGCAAGACCACTATCCTGTACACCTGTCCTTTCTATAGTGTTTGTATCCAGAAATAATAGTATGCCACTGATTTTCTCTATTCAACCAGGTTTCTGAAATACCCATTACAACTACGTCCTCATGTAGGAGGAAGCACCCAACCTCCTCCATCTTGGTATGGAGGCTTATAGCATTCACATAACAAGTTTATCCCTGGTATTCTTTGCAGTCACTTATTCCCTTGGTGCATGTAGAATTTCTGGAATCTTCAAAGGTCAGGTGTTTTGTAGTGTGGAAATTTCTCTTGTATGTTTCAGGGGTGCCTTGCAAGATTGTTGTCAGCTTTGAACAATTCAGTTCCCTGTAGCAAGGCACTGAATCCTCTGCAATATTGCAATGTTTGCTTGTTTCTGAGGAAATAATGCTAACAGACCTTATGCTTAATTTGTAGCTTTCTTTCAGAGCGCGGGAGATCTTTAACAAATTTTTATGTAGCAAAGCTACAACCCCAGTGAATATTGATAGCCAGGCCCAGCTGGCAGATGATGTTCTCAATGCGCCACATCCTGATATGTTCAAGGATCAACAGCTTCAGGTAATTTTTGAAACGTTCTTTCTTTAGCCATTAGGGGATCCCAAAACGTCCTGTGAGCCCACAAATCAGCTTTCTGAGGGTTGGAACAATCTGCTGATGGTGGTGGTGGTGGTGGTGGTGGTGGTGGTACTGATGCAGAAAATCCACAGTCCTTGCAATGGTGGATCATAGAGCACAGGCTTGTGTATCCGTGTAACTTCAGCCTTCAGTTTTGGCTTCTGCCTTCCAGAAACATCTATTCTGATTGTATTACAGTTTTGTTTCCAGTTGCTCACCACTATTTTTCTTTCTTTGCAAGCAAATAACGGGCAAGGGGTTGGAAACTGATGCTTTAAACCTGTGTTTGCTTTTCAGATTTTCAACTTGATGAAGTTTGACAGCTATACACGTTTTCTGAAATCCCCACTTTACCAGGAATGTATTTTGGCAGAAGTAGAAGGCCATCCTCTCCCTGATCCACAATATGTTCCCAGCAGCCCTACTTCTAAGCACAGTTTTGGTTCTGAGCGGTCCAGTGTTTCAACACCAAAAAAGGTTTCTCACTATTTACAACCTATGTAGATAAAATGGAACTTATTTCTGTTAACTGATTGTCTGAATGTATGTGTGTGTGTGTGTGTGTAATTTGTTTATATTGTCTAATGCTGGCATACCATTTAATTGCAAAGAGTTCGTTACACAATGGTGTTAAATATAAAATGATGTACCATTAGGGAGAAACCCCCCCACAGAAGTTGTTACCTTATATAGGCAGACAGCTGGCCCTTCTGGGCTGTGGGGAAGTTATTGCCTACGTCTGTGCTCTTTCTCATTTTGTCTTACTTTTCTTAAAAACAGATATCACAGGAGTGACTTATGGGGATGCGGGTTAATTAGTGGGACTGGTCAGCAGAACCAGAAAGTTTAGAAGCTGCTGTTCTGGGTAAATGAGCATTAGGTTTGCATCCAGTTTTTTAAAAATTATATTTTGATGGTAGTTAAGTGGAAAATCGAAGTCGGGGCGATCCTTAAATGAAGAATCTGGAGAGGAAGACTCTGAGAGAAAGAGAAAAGGGACCTTTTTCTCGTGGTCTAGAAGCAAGAGTATGGGGCGATCACAGAAGAAAAAGGAGAATGGTGATTATCCAAATGGTTAGTTGTAAAACCCAAACAGTAAGTTTAACATCTGTGTTCCAGCCATCATTGTGATGGGGGGGGGGATGGACTTTACAAATCTTTAAAACATCATTCAGGCCCATGTAAGAAGGTTCTTACAAGTACTTCTTGTACCTCTGCTTTGAAAGGTCAGGGAGAATCTATTTTGAATAAAACGTGAGGAACCCATGGGGACTCATGGAGCAGTGGAAATCTTATCCGCCACCCATCCTCCCATTCCTGCCTTCCCATTCCCTTCCCAGCCCTCCCACCACTGCTTCCTTGCTCCCTCTCCAGCCCTTCAGGGGACAGTTACGTTGGGGTTGCTAGGCAGGCTTATAATGTTGACTGTGATCTTGTTGAGGCCTCGGTCAGCATTTTTTAAAAGTCTGCATAGTCATCATTTCTCTGGTTTTGGAGGATTTTAACTCCACCCACATTTGCCCCCTCATGTCGGGGATGTTTTCTGTAAAAACACCTCCTTTTCTGTCCAGGCTCTAGTGTGAGGCTTTCCCCCCAATCTACAGTGTGATGTCAAGTTCAGGTCACACGGACCTCTTACTGCGCTTTCCCCCCCGCAGTTGTTCTATCCACGACATTTTATATCGCTTGGAGGTGGTCAGACGGTCCCTCTGTCTTCCGCTTCACTTGCGCAAAGTACTGACCACACAGCGCGCCGTCCCTGCGGTGGCGCGGGTTTAAAAAACAAAAAAACCTGCGCATGCGCTTGGGCGTACATACAAACTAAGAAGACCAAAATAAAAGCTAGCGCCTGTTTGCACATGCACATAACTTAAACCGGAAACACAAAAAAGGGGGGGGGAGGGTAGCGCGGTCACGGCGGATTGCTGTCTAGATGCCAAAACCGCGGATACAAAGCGCGAGATATCGGAAAACACCTGTTCCAACGGGTGTCAGAAAACGCGGATAAAAAGAGCAGAAACCGCGGGACTCAGCCCGCTTCGGTGCGGGAGGCGGGTTTGCCAATATGAACATGAAACTTTAATGCGCGAGGGATCAGCTGCGAAGCCCGCACTAAATGTCCGTGTGACCTGAACCTTAGATTCGTAATTTTGGATGCTTTTTACTATTTGAAGTGCATTTACTTGGCTACAGTGAATGGAATACTTTATATCTCAGGTCTTAAAGCATATGAGCACCTTTTAGAGTGAACAGTGTGCATTTAGCTTGAGTTAGAATTTCCTAATAGAATTCTTTCTGTTGTTGTGTTACTGCCACTCTGTATGGCATGATTTTTCCACAGATTCTGTACATGCCAATGGGTTGTCCTATAGACATGAATCTCAAGACTCGTTGTCATCAGCTGCAAGTCTTGAATTGGTAAGGTCCTGGATTTTTATATCAAAAAGACTGTAATAACTGTGGAGACTTAAAGATGCTATACTTGAGTAATATAAGATGTACTCCATATACTTAAGTCTAAAGGGCAAAGTACATATTGTGTGCTTGTTTCCAAATTCAAAGGCACCATCTGGAGGATTGAATGATGGCTGTAGTGCTTGATAGAGGAGATTTAAGCCTTGCCCTTACACTGTTTTTCAGGTTAAAATCTGCTTCATTCCCTACTCTGAAAGATTGTGGCCCTTTCTGCACCTGTATTTTGCCTCAGTTTCTGAGCGCATCCTGTTCTACTGCATTCCCTCCCGCTTTCACTTCTGCTTTGTTTTGGGGCTTTCTCTTGTTTCTGCATTTGTTTTACAGGACTGTACATTCAGACCGCTTCCAGCACACTGTAGCCCCACAGCTACCAAAACTCCTTTTGCTGTGATTCTTTGTTCTCATTTGCTTTCAAATTGCTAATCCTTTCTAAAGTAGAATTGTTTCTGTGGGTATTTAAGGGCTGTCCACTGCCCTCCCACATTTCCCTCCCTCTCTCTCCCTCTCTCTCTCTCTCGGTAGACACTCTCTCCCTGTTCTGCTTTCTTTCCCTCCTTCTCCAAGACAAAAGAGGATTTGTCCACCCGCTCAGGCAAACTTTTAAAAAGCCAGAGAGAACATAAGAAGGAATCAGTCAATATAAAGGACTAGGGGATTCCCTGCTCCCA